TCATGTAAAAATAGAAAACGAGAAATATTCTTGCAATTGTCCAGGATATACAATAATTTACTACGAATTTTCTGTAATTCAAGAACTATATTCTATACACTACTACACTTATTAGTATTCTTTCTTTGTAAAACGTCAAATCGTAATTTTCTAACTAAGGAAAACTTTTCCCTGGACAGGAAAACTCAGACTAAGCTTATCAGTAATATTACTTCGAACATAGAAGCATTTATTCTTTTTATGTTCAACAAAAAAAGGAAGTTAGTGATTGTATATTTCATAATAATTACTGAAAAATGTATTTATATTTTAAGAGCAGCGTATACAGAGAGAACGATTTGGTTGAATCAAATAAACACTTCTTTGGAATCCCAACGAATTTTTTTATTGATCGAATAAAATTTTGTTTGACGCAATAAAAATATTTACTTGCGGCTTAGTTCCAAAGAAATATTTTTGTTGTGTCAATTAAATAATTTGTTTGGACTATTCCAAAGAAACATTTATTTGATTCAATAAATCGTTTCTCTGTGTAAATATAAATCAAGTTTGTGTTCAATATCCAGTGAAAGTCAAAGGCCATATTTTGATGTCATACTGATATCTATGACAATCTTTTTTTGCGTTTTTAGTATTCGGAATATAAGTGAACGTACTTTCTTCTTGAACTATAACTAAAAAATGGGTTAGCTTGTGTGTGTGTGTGTGTGTGCGCGCGCGCGCGTGCGTGCGTGCGTGCGTGCGTGTAATACATGGATTGTACTTATCGTCAAAGAGAAATAGCAAATCTTTATATTACGATTCGTTATTACTCACATGAACGATATTAGCGAGATACGTTTTGCTGCTGTTGCATCAGGATCAGCTGAAGTCCTGTGTCGATCGCGTAGTTGATAATTTACGACACACGATACTTGTCGTGGACGGAGAGATCACACTGTCTGTATCACACTGGTGAATGCTAGACTGGGCTGCATATTCGTAATTGTTTTCGTAGCTTTCATATGCTAAACTACGATACTCTATTATTTTCTATCCTTGGTATCTTCGAAACAGGTCAGCAAGGATAATGTTACCGTGAGTTTGCTTCCTTTGCACTGTGAAGTTCTCGAATTTGATCCTAAGATAAAACTTTGGACTACAGTCAAGGTTATTTTCTGCAAGCATAAACTGATTTATGATTATTGATTTTTTCGTAAATAATGCTTAAATGAATATGTATTTATTTTTAATTTTTTATATTCAACATTCAGATTATACTGTTATTGAATAAGCTAGTCCACAATATGAAATCGTATACAAATTTTGTCGAATTGTGCTACTTATAGTCTGCAATATTTACAACTTGATGGCACATTTTGTCACAGACATATGCCATGCAATTTGTTTACTTTCATTTAAACAAAAACGAAACTTCCGTACAAATTTTTAAGTATTTGTTTGGATTTGCATTCATCATTTTCAACGTGTTTATATACTGCTTTGACAGTGATCTGCTCACTGAGAACTACATCCAGTTTGCATCCATGTGTTATGAAGGTGCGTGGTGTCGAATGTCTCTCAGAAAAGCGATTGAGATGATTATGTTAATCTCGATACCAGGTGTAGAAGTATGAAACCGGAATTTTTTTATACAAATAAGACGTCTGTTGTTCGAAAGTGATAAATAATACTTTATTCAAAATAATTTCCACTGTTTTGAACACATTTTTCCCACCTCTCTGGCAGTTTATGAATGCCGTGCCAAAAAAACTTTTCATCTTTTGAAGCGAACCAGTTATCTAGCCATTTTTCCACATTTTCATACGAATCGAAGCGTTGGTTAGCGAGAGCGTGTCCTAGCGATGCGAACAGGTGATAATCGGACGGAGCCAAGTCTGGAGAATAAGCCGCATGCGGTAGTAATTCCCAACTGAACGACTCGATCGTTTCCTTGACCCGTTTTGCTGTATGTGATGGGGCATTATCATGGAGCAAAATGACATTGTGTTGCCTTTTTGCATATTCTGGTCGTTTTTTAGTCAATGTTCGATTTAAATCGATCATTTGTTGTTGGTAGCGATTAGTATTGACGGTTTGACCAGGTTTCAGCAGTTCATAGTTCATAGTTCATAGTTCATAGTTCTTCGTTCCTCACGTCAAAATCACCACTTTTGAATTTTTTAAACCACTCGAAACACTGAGATTTACCAAGAGCATATTCACCGTAAGCTTCGACAAGCATTCGATGTGATTCTGCAGCAGTTTTCTTTAAATGATAACAGAAAATCAATGCTGTCCGCAAATCATAGTTAGTAGGCTCGAAACGTGACATGTTTAAGGTTATACAAAAATATACTAGAGAATGAAAGTTGGGGTTATGTTTGTTGACAATATTCGTCAGCTGTTAGGAGAATATAATAGCGCGGCAGTAGCGGTCTTACGGTCACTAAACTGAACGCTGGCACCATTTATAGGGGAATTCCGGTTTCATACTTCTACACCTGGTATATCATCACCTCGCCACCTTCAGTGACAGAAAATAACGACGATGACGTTGAGTAAATTCTTTAATGTAAGTAACACTTTTGTATGCTCTAATCAAAATATAATTAAAATTGTTTAGTATATATCGTAACGAGACAGTCTCGAAATTAATGTAGACCATGTTGATCGTTAAAATATTTTTATTGTGGAGGCAAGTGCTTTTGTTCATAAATGTGCACTCCCTTTTTCAGTGAACTACGAATAAACTGCAATTTTATTCCTTCCTCTATCAAAGTTATGATTGCTATCATCAGAGGTTGAGAGCAAATATTAGATTTGATTGCATGATGCAGAATATACTGATTCGACCTCCGATGTCTATAATTATAACTTCGGATACAGGAAGAAATAAAGTTACAGCTTAACTTTAGTCCATTGAAAAAGGGGAGACAATTCTGACGAACAAAAATACTTACTTTCGCAAACGGTCCCGATTGCCCGCGAGCAAGTTGGCTTTCAAAGTTTGCTGCCAACGTTTTAAAGCATTGCTGCCTCTCAAGCACGCAACATCTAAATATTAAAATCGCGCAAGCGCGAGCGAGCAGCGAATTTACTTGATTTGTATCTCCCTTTGCAATCGTCAGTTGTAATCGAGCGCGCATCTGAACTCTATCGTACTCGTAATAATTCGTACGGCTTTACATACGAAAGTAAATCCGTCTAAAAAAAATTGAGAAACGATTTTCTTCGAAAATTTAAGAATTATGCCGAATAACGAACGTTATGAGGATGATATTATGTATATTACTAAAGTAACACGTAATGTTTTGTACATACTTGGAGTTTGGCCGTCCTTAGACGGAAGAAAATCTATCGGCGGCCGTATCTGTAGGTTACTACTGATCATAATCTCTTGGTTACTGCTTTACTGCGTCCTGATTCCCGGTTTCCTCTTCTGGCTGCATGAGAAGAGAACGCGTATCAGGATACAAATGTTACCTCTACTCCTTTTCGGTTTTATGGCCATCGGTAAATATGGTAATTTGATATTTCGCGAAGGGCAGATCAAGCGTTGCCTACAACACATCGAAGAAGATTGGAAAAACGTAATAGATACGGACGCTCGAAACATGATGATTAAATCCGCGAAAACTGGAAGACGCCTAGTCACAATTTGCGGGATATTTATGTACGGCAGTGGGGTCTCTTTCCGGACGATCTTACCGTTGTCAAAAGGAAAACTTGTTACCGCGCAGAATATCACAATTAAACCTTTACCTTGTCCGGGTTATTTCTTCTCTTTCAACGCGCAAGCCAGCCCTACTTATGAGATGATTTTTGCGATGCAGTTTTTCTCCGGTTTAATCACATTTTCGATTACGACAGCCGTGTGTGGTCTGACGGCTGTTTTTGCGATGCATGCTTGTGGCCAGCTGAAAATACTGATGAAGCTGATGAAACATCTCTTCGAGGAACAGTGGACTGAAAAACATGATATGATTAGAAAGCTGGCTGAAGTAGTCGAATATCAAATAAGAATACGAAGGTGAGCGCATGTATTTCGTAACTTTTATTGAATCGTCACTACAACAGTAAATCGCAATTATTAACTGTATACTGCATACTGCATTTATTATACTGTATACTGCACGTGGATTGCAATATTTCAATCTTATTGTTTCTCTCAGAAATATCAGTTTCATATTATTCATAACGACATTTCAGTTTTTTGCAATTAGTGGAGCGCACTATGCAACAAATGTATCTCATAGAATTAATGGGGAGTACGATAATTGTCTGCATTCTAGGATATTGTATAATAATGGTTTGTTTTTTATTCATCTAATAACTTTTTTATTCATCTAATAAGAAAGGGATCGTGTTTCATGTCCTGATATATGCGATTAAATTGTTTTTATATTATGATCCTGTTTATAGGAATGGGAGAATAGTAATGGAATAGCTATGTGTTCTTACTTTATAACTTTCACCACCATAATGATAATTGTGTTCATGTTTTGTTACACTGGTGAACAGCTTACCAGCCAGGTATGTTCATTTGTGTCGAAATGTCAAACTCTAATAGTAAGCGCCATTATTTAATAACAAATATTACATAGTGGATTGCCCGTACATAAATGTAATTGTTTCATTTATTGCAAGTAATACAGCAGTAATTCTTAATTCTTGTTTTGGAAAATTAAAACTGAAATATGATATTTAATAATTATTAAAATAATTATTACTTAGATATCAATTTAGCAAACTGCACAATTTTATTCTATGCGTGTTTGATAATAATAATGACAGGCAGAAAAAGTGGCTAATACATCGTGCGAGCTGGAGTGGTATCGTCTTCCGGACAAAACAGCACGCAGCATCGTGTTAGTAATGATCATATCTAATTTGCCCACCAAACTCACTGCAGGGAAAATTGTGGACTTATCCTTCAAAACATTTGCTGATGTAAGATAATATTTTCAAAGTAATCTGCATGTACGTCCAGTAAATTACAGTGTTTTTATATTGCAAGAAAAGTAAACATTTCAGTAAATGTGATTCAAACAGTCCATTACTTGTTCGAATATTCTTGTATGATCTATATGTTGTGTATGGTCTATATGTTGTGTATTATCTATGTTTCATTCTTTTCACTCTCGTAATTAATAACTTTTCATTATGACAAACGAAATGTTTTCGGTATATAAAGCGAGTAATTGTGTCACATGATGTTTTAGGTGGTTAAAACTTCTATGACATATTTTAATATACTTCGAAACGTTACCGATTGAATATTTCTGTTTTAATCATCGAGGTAACGATACAATACTATACGATACTATACATATTGCAATAGTGATATCGTATCGTGTTTATTAGTAATATAAATATGTCAATTGCAAATATTGGTATAATATATAAATATAGAATATATGTTTCAGATTTAAATACATGTCTTATGCGAAAACATATGTATGTCTAGAATTTGAAACACGTAATATCAAATATTTTTGGGTCTTGTCTTTAGTAGTGTAAAGGTATGTTTCTCAGGTTGTCGATATATTGACAACCCAAAATCTTCTGGTTATAATCGCTATCAATCACTACAAGGAGTGCTATCTATCTCGTACTATTTATTTTATATTAAACGTATTACATTATTATATTAAACGTATTACATTTTATATTAAACGAATTACATTTTTCAAAAATTAAAATAATAAAAAAAATAGAAAGCAAGAAATATTCTTGCTGTCAGCCAAGATATATAATAATCTAGATATCTACCACGGATTTTCTGCAAGTTAAGAACTATATTCTATACACTACTATTATTAGTATCCTTTCTTTGTAAAACGTCAAATCGTAATTTTCTAACTCCGACACTTTCCTCCTGACAGCAAACAGAACTCAGACTAAACTCACCAATAACGTCACTTTGAACATAAATGCATTTATTCAAGTTTTTATGTTCAATAAAACACATTAGTTGTTGTATAATTCATAATTGTTCCATATAGTTATAGGAAAAATATAGTTATCTTTTTTGAACAACGTAGATATACATTAAATTCGTAACTTCAATATCTAGTGAAAGTCAAAGGCTTTTTAATATCATACTGGCATTTATGGTAACTTTCTTTTTCGTTCAATATTAAGAATATAAGTGAAAGTACATTCTTCTTGAAATATAACTAAAAATGGACTAGTTTGTGTGTGTGTGTATGGTTGAGTGTGTGTATGGTTGTGTGTGTGTGTTGGTG